TATGGGTTTTCGAGGTCATTTCTTGGTGCTTGTGTATTATTCTGGATGTACTTAAATAGTTAGGCACATTAAAATTTTAGTTCAGAGAAAACGTATTTTTGGCCAAAAATCCTTAAGGCTTTAGACTTACAATTTTGTCATTTCGGCCAAAAATGGTTTTCAAAATTTCAGTCATGAGGCTGTTGAAGAATCACTTACCTGTATTTAATGATGCTGTGTCCTTACAGAACCACATAACATCACATCATCTTACTGTTTACTGGAGGAGCCACCAAGAACAGCTCAGACGGCTAACAATGCTGTTGACTGAAGTCCTCTATAAACTTCACAGAGTGACGGTAATAATTTTATGGTTTTGAGAAAGTATTTTGTGTGTGTGGTTACCTATCTGTGTTACCTGTGAACAAGTGTGTATGGTAGCTGTACATCTAGTTCTGTATGGAAGTGTATAGTAGTTGTGTATGAACAGTTCTGTATACAAGTGTATGGTAGTTGTGTATGAACAGTTCTGTATGCAAGTGTATGGTAGTTGTGTATGAACAGTTCTGTATACAAGTGTATGGTAGTTGTGTATGAACAGTTCTGTATACAAGTGTATGGTAGTTGTTATGAGCAGTTCTGTATACAAGTGTATGGTAGTTGTGTATGAACAGTTCTGTATACTAGTGTATGGTAGTTGTTATGAACAGTTCTGTATACAAGTGTATGGTAGTTGTGTATGAACAGTTCTGTATACAAGTGTATGGTTGTTGTTAATAGAACAGTTCTGTATACAAGTGTATGGTAGTTGTGTGTAGACAGTTCTGTATACAAGTGTATAGTAGTTATTGTATGAACAGTTCTGTATACAAGTGTATGGTTGTTGTGTATGAACAGTTCTGCAGTATGTGTGAACAGTTCTGTATACAAGTGTATGGTAGTTGTGTATGAACAGTTCTGTACACAAGTGTATAGTAGTTGTGTATGAACAGTTCTGTATACAAGTGTATGTGAAGTAGTTTTGTATGAACAGTTCTGTACACAGAAGTGTATGGTAGTTGTGTATAACAGTTCTGTACACAAGTGTATATGGGTTGTGTATGAACAGTTCTGTACACAGTGTATAAGAGTTGTGTATGAACAGTTCTGTACACAAGTGTATGGTAGTTGTGTATGAACAGTTCTGTACAAGTGTATGTTGGTTGTGTGAACAGTTCTGTACACAAGTGTATGGTAGTTGTGTATGAACAGTTCTGTATACAAGTGTATGGTAGTTGTGTATGAACAGTTCTGTATACAAGTGTATGGTAGTTGTTGTATGAACAGTTCTGTATACAAGTGTATGGATTGTGTAGAGCAGTTCTGTATACAAGTGTATGGTAGTTGTGTATAGACAGTTCTGTATACAAGTGTGTAGTAGTTATTGTAGAGCAGTTCTGTATACAAGTGTATGGTAGTTTGTGTATGAACAGTTCTGTATACAAGTGTATGGTAGTTGTGTATGAACAGTTCTGTATACAGAGTGTATGGTAGTTGTTATGAACAGTTCTACACAAGTGTATGGTAGTTGTGTATGAACAGTTGTATACAAGTGTATGAGTTGTGTATGGACAGTTCTGTAATACAAGTGTATGGAGTTTTGTATGAACAGTTCTGTATACAAGTGTGGTAGTTGGTATGAGACAGTTCTGTATACAAGTGTATGGTAGTTGTGTATAGACAGTTCTGTATACAAGTGTGGTAGTTGTGTATGGTCGTTCTGTATACAAGTGTATGGTAGTTGTGTATGAACAGTTCTGTTTACAAGTGTATGGTAGTTGTGTATGAGCAGTTCTGTATACAGGTGTATGGTAGTTGTGTATGAACAGTTCTGTATCAAGTGTATGGTTGTTGTGTATGAACAGTTCTGTACACAAGTGTATGTGGTTGTGTATGAACAGTTCTGTATACAAGTGTTTAGTAGTTGTGTATAGAAACAGTTCTGTATACATGTATGGTTGGTGTGTGTTCAGTGACATTGTTAAAGTACCCTCTTCCAATCTGTGTTCCTCCTCCACCTTCCCTGTGCCCTCCCCACCTTCCCTGTGCCCCTCCCCTTCCCCTGTGCCCCTCCCTTCCCTGCCCTCCCCCACCTTCCCTGTGCCCCTCCCCACCTTCCCCTGGCCCCTCCCCACCTTCCCCTTCCCCCACCTTCCCCTGGCCCCCTCCCCTTCCTGTGCCCTCCCCACCTTCCCCCTGTGCCCCTCCCCACCTTCCCCTGCCCCTCCCCACGCCCCTCCCTGCCTCCCCACCTTCCCTGTGCCCCTCCCCCATCCCCCTGTGCCCCTCCCTTCCCCTGTGCCCTCCCCACCTTTCCTGTGCCTCCCCACCTTCCCCTGTGCCCTCCCCCACCTTCCCCTGTTGCCCCTCCCCACCTTCCCCTGTGCCCCTCCCCACCCCCTGTATCCACTATCCTCCCTGTGCTCCTCCTCCTCCTCCTCCCCCATCTCCTCCTCCTCCCCTGTGCCTCCTCCTCCTCCTCTCCCCCTGCCTCCTCCTCCTCTCCTCCTCCCCTGTGCTCTCTCTCCTGCTCCTCCTGCTCCTCTCTCCTCCCTGTGCTCCTCCTCCCCTGTGCTCCTCCTCCTCCTCTCCCCCTCCTCTCCTCCTCCTCCTCTGCCTCCTCCTCTCCTCCCTGTGCTCCTCCTGTCCACCTACCCTGCCTCCTCCCTCCTCCCCCCCTGTGCTCCTCTCCTCCTCCCCTGTCTCCTCCTCCTCCTCCTCCCCCTGTGCTCCTCCTCCTCCTCCTCCCCTGTGCTCCTCTCCTCCTCCCCTGTGCTCCTCCTCCCCTGTGCTCCCTCCTCCCCTGTGCTCCTCCCCCTGTGTCCTCCTCCCCTGTGCTCCTCCCCTCTCCTCCTCCCCCCCCTGTGCTCCCTCCTCCCCTGTGCTCCTCCTCCTCCTCCCCTCCCCTGTGCTCCTCCTCCCCTGTGCTCCCTCCTCCCCATTGCTCCCTCCTCCTCCTCCCCTGTGTCCCTCCCCTCCCCTGTGCTCCTCCTCCTCCCCCTGTGCTCCTCCTCCTCCCCTGTGCTCCTCCTCCTCCTCCCTCCCTCCCCTGTGCTCCTCCTCCTCCCCCCTCCTCCCCTGTGCTCCTCCTCCTCCTCCTCCTCCCCCCTGCTCCCTCCTCCTCCTCCTCCTCCCCTGTGCTCCTCTCCTCCTCCTCCCTCCCCTGTGCTCCTCCTCCTCCTCCTCCCTGTGCTCCTCCTCCTCCTCCTCCCCCAGCTCCCTCCTCCTCCTCCTCCCCTGCCTCCTCCTCCTGCTCCTCCCCTGTGCTCCTCCTCCTCCCTGCTCCTCCTCCCTCCTCCCCTCCCCCTGTGCTCCTCCCTCCTCCTCCCCTGTGCTCCTCCTCCTCCTCCCCTGTGCTCCTCTCTCCCTCCCCCTCCCCTGCTCCTCCTCCTCCCCTCCCCCCCTGTGCTCCTCCCTCCCTCCCCCCCCCTGTTTCTCTCCCTCCCCCCTGTGCTCCTCCCCTCCCCCCCTGTGCCCTCCTCCCCTCCCACCTGTGCCCCTCCTCCTCCCTATCTCTGTGCTCCTCCTCCTCCACCTCTCCTTATGCCCCATCCTCCTCCCTACCTCCTGTGCTCCTCTCCCCCCTACTCCTCCTCCACCTGTGCCCCTCCTCCTCCTACCTCTGTGCTCCTCCCCCTGCTCCTCCTCCCCACCCTGTCCCTCCTCCCCCCCACCTCTGTGCTCCTCCCCTCTAATCCTCCTCCCCTGTGCCCCTCCTCCTCCCCCTCTGTGCTCCTCCTCCCCTACTCCTCCCTCCACCTGCCCCTCCTCCCCTGCCTCCTCCTCCACCCTGTGTCCCTCCTCCTCCTACCTCTGTGCTCCTCCCCTGTACTCCTCCTCCACCTGTGTCCCTCCTCCTCCTGTCCTCTCCCCTCTCCTCCTCCTGTGCCCTCTTACCTCTGTGCTCCTCCTCCCACCTGTACTCCTCCTCCACCCTCCAGCCCCTCCCCCCCTACCTGTGCTCCTCCTCCCACCTGCCTCTCCCTACCTCTGTGCTCCTCCCCGTGTCTCCCTACTCAACCCCCTGCCCCTCATACCTCTGTGCCCCTCTCTCTGTGCTCCTCCTCCACCTTTGTGCCCTCTCTCTGTACTCCTCCTCCACCCTATGCCCCTCCTCCCTACCTCTCTTCTTCCTCCTTGTGCTCCTCCCTGCTCCTCCACCCCCTGTGCTCCTCCACCCTGTGCTCCTCCACTAATTACTTGCTATAGGTTTCCCAGGTGAGATTTTGGTGTTTTTTGTGTTCTTCTTGAAGTAATTAATTGGTTAAGCTCCTCAAATTCCAATTCCGAGAAAAAAGTCTATTTTGGTCAAATACTAAGGTGTAAGACTTATGTTTTTGGCCAAAAATTGATTTTACTGAAAATCTCAGTATATGTACTCCTGAGCATGCTGATTGCAAATCTATGATCCTCGTTTCGATTGGGGGGTAATTAGTGGCCTTAATGTGGCTTGGAGTATTTCAAGAAACTATCACAAGCAATATATTTACGATTTTTTTTTCACTATTATTTCTTAGAGAGCAGCAGGGGAGCATCTGCCTCTACTCACAGTACACTACAAATCATGGGAAACAGCAGTTTTAATGCTAAAGGAGTAAAGGTGTCAATATATATAGTGAGTGATGAAATTGGCAGTGGAATATTGGATAGATGGTCAGATGGAATAGACAAATTGAGAGAATGGGATGTGTAAGACTGATAAGTGTGTGGTAGGAGGGAGGAGATGGAAGGGTGGGGTGGAGGCTGCACTAGAAGTGTGAAGGAAGGAACACCCAGCAAGCAGTGATGTGTGTGTGTATGAAGGAGTGGATAATATGGCTGTGATTTGGGGGAAAAGACATCTATCTGGTGAGCAATGTTGACTTGTGAGGTAACACTTGCTGTGGGTGATGAAGTATTATACCAGAGCACGTCTAGTCCACCAGGTAGTGTGACTATTGAATGAGAGTGTATGAAGAAAGTGATTTTAATTCTTGCCACTGCAATATACCAAAAAAAACATAACTATTTTTGGCTAATAAAATACTGTATTCATTTTACAGGTAGAAATAGAAAACATCACTACAGAGAGGATGAGAACCATAACTTGGTTTCCAGATGACACAGCACAATCAAGATAGACAAGAAAAATGATCAAGACTACAGAAAAAGATGAATCTGCCCTAAATAAGTGTATCTACCCAACACGACTGGATTTGTTTTCCCCAAAGACATTAGCCCACTTACTGACCCACATTGGGGCCTGATGGGGTGAAAATAAGAAGCGATAATTATGTTGCGTTGTCAAAGTAAGAGAAACAATTAAATCCCTGCAATTTTATGTAAATGAGCCAGAAAGTCGGGTTCGGCAACCCGGGACTTGGGCACAATATTTGTGATGCCATATGGCAAGAATGTATACCATTAGACAACACATTGTGCTTTCAATATCTTTCCAAGAAGTAGTACTGTACTTCGCTGTTTGGTTGCTGCATTAAATATGTCTACCTACATAAATATTAAATTTTTTTAAGTGTATTGAAAGTTTATCTACTGACTACAGTAGACATAGTGTAAGAGTGAGGGAAGAACAAGCTATATTGTGTTTGGCTAAGGAAGGACTTCCAGTGATGTACAGGAAGAAAGACTTGTTGACCTATTAGTGAGTGAGGGAATGACTTGCTGACCAATTAATGAGGCAGAGGTGTAGTGCTATAGGAATGCATGGGAATGGTATTTCTTTACTTTTTTCGGTAGGCGAAACGCATTCCCTCACTATTTCAAATAAATGTAAACTTACAAATCTCTAACGTCATGAAATTATAATTCCCACCCGTAGACGAAATACGAGAGAATTATTAACTGTTGCATTTCTTTTAGCTTTAACTGAGGTAATAATAGCGGCATTGCCTCATTATTTGTATACAAAAAACTCGCCAAAAAAGTCACTCCCAGCCTTCCTCCCAAGTCTTACTGGTCCTTCCCTCACTCTAATGTGTAGGAGTTAGGGAAGGCCTCACTCTAATGTGTAGGAGTGAGGGAAGGACTCACTCTAATGTGTAGGAGTGAGAGAAGGACTCTGTGATGTGTAGGAGTGAGAGAAGGACTCTGTGATGTGTAGGAGTGAGAGAAGGACTCTGTGATGTGTAAGAGTGAGAGAAGGACTCTGTGATATGTAGGAGTGAGAGAAGGACTCTGTGATGTGTAGGAGTGAGGAAGGACTCTGTGATGTGAAGGAGTGAGAGAAGGACTCTGTGATGTGTATGAGTGAGAGAAGGACTGATGTGTAGGAGTGAGAGAAGGACTCTGTGATGTGTAGGAGTGAGAGAAGGACTCTGTGATGTGTAGGAGTGAGGAAGGACTTTGTGATGTGTAGGAGTGAGAGAAGGACTCTGTGATGTGTAAGAGTGAGAGAAGGACTGATGTGTAGGAGTGAGAGAAGGACTCTGTGATGTGTAGGAGTGAGAGAAGGACTCTGTGATATGTAGGAGTGAGAGAAGGACTCTGTGATGTGTATGAGTGAGGTAACGACTCGGTGATTTGTAACAATGAGTGAAGATCTTGTGTGTTGTATAAGAGAGAGATATTCACTGAAATGTAGGACAGAAGGAAGGCCTTGTATATGAGTAACCATATAATATACAAGTAGACTTGTGTGTTATTAAAGTTAAGATTTTGTAATACTGTTATAATCATGTGTGTGGAATTTATGAAGAATGGTTTAGTTCACCTTAAATTAGTCATAGTTGTGACTAATACAGGTATTTAAATTAATTTTTTGTTTACGTTAACCATTGTAAAGTGAAAGGTGTCAGTCCCATCACTCAGGTAGACTGCATTGCTCTAGTGGTCTATTCCATCATTGTGGCACAGTAGTAATGGTGACGTCACTGCTGTGTACCTGCAATGGGGTAGACTGCTTGTGTTGACTAGTTCAAAAATGTCAAAACATTGTTGAACTTAGGTTATTTTGTACATTGTCATCATTTGCATAACAAAATATTTAATTCTTCCTGGCACTGTCCTATATAAGATGAGAGTTTAAGATTTTACTGTATTTTTCAGTAATTCTTACATCTTCACAACTTGCTTGTAACCAATGATGTTTCCTCTAGACAAACTTTTGTAATTATATTTTTATTTTGTATTTGTTGTCCATGTTAAAAAAAATCCTGAGGCAGTGTGCCACTGCTATGGGCTGTGTGAGTCCCCCAGGTTGTATATGAGGCTGCCAGGGGCTGTGTAGTTCACTGGTTATATGAAGTATTTAAGGACTGTGATGTCAACAGGGGCTGTTGTTTGTACTCCGGTATATGCGAGGGTCATACACAGCTAATTGTGACTCTGGGCTGATTGTTGCTCCTAAGGTCTGTGTGATGCTCTTCGGGGGCTCTGTAACACTGCCGGGCTGGGTGAGGCTACTAGGTCAATGGGGCTTGTATAAGACCATGGAATCTGCCAGGGGACCGGTGTGGAGCTAGTAGAGGCTTTAGTGAGGCTACCAGGGGCTGTGTGATGTCACCAGGACCTAGGTGAGGCCATCAGAGGTGTCTGCTAGGGCCTATGTGAGGCTCGTCTGGTTGAGCAGTACAAGAGGTATGCGAGACCTGTCAACCAGGTTGGTAGCCTTGCACTGGTCAAGGTTAAGTCGTACTTAAGGCATCTGTTGACAGATCCACATCACAGAAGGCGACTGTACGTAGGAGAAACAGACATTAAACTAAATGTAAATCATGTAAATAAAAACATTGTTTCTTTTCCGTGTTTTATATATATCCAAAGAAAGCTAAGCTGCTGCATAAACTCCAATTTCCCGTTTTCTATGATAAGTAGATAACCAACTTTCCCAGGAAGTAGATTATCGACTTTTTGGGAAATATTACCTAATTTTCAGAAGTAGATTATCATAGAAAACGGGAAATTTGTATCATAGAAAATGGGAAATAATCTACTTTCCGGGAAAGTTGGTTATCTACTTTCCCGAAAAGTAGATTATCTACTTTTCAGGAAAGTAGATTATCGACTTTTCGAGAAGTAGATTATCGAATTTTGGGGAAATATTACCTAATTTTCAGAAGTAGATTATCATAGAAAACGGGAAATTTGTATCATAGAAAATGGGAAATAATCTACTTTCCGGGAAAGTTGGTTATCTACTTTCCCGAAAAGTAGATTATCTACTTTTCGGGAAAGTAGATTATCGACTTTTCGGGGAGGTAGATAATCGACTTTTTGAGAAATATTACCTAATTTTCAGAAGTAGATTATCATAGAAAACGGGAAATTTGTATCATAGAAAATGGGAAATATCTACTTTTCAGATTACGACTTCGAAGTAGATTGACGAACTTTTGAAATATTACCTAATTCAGCTTAGATTATCAAGAAAACGGAAATTTGTATCATGAAAATGGAAATAATCTGTTTCGGTTATTCATTCGAAGAGATTATCTATTTTTGTTGCAGATTATCGACTTCGGGAAGTAGATATCTGAATCTTGGGAAATATTACCTAATTTCTGTGAAGTAGATTATTAGAAAACGGGAAATTTGTATCATAGAAATGGAAATAATCTACTCCTGGGAGTTGGTTGTTTGATTTTCTCCTGAAAGTGTAGATTATCTACTTTGAGTAGATTACCACCTTTTCGGGAAGTAGATTATCGAATTTTTGGGAAATATTGCTCTAATTTCAGAAGTAGATTATCATAGAAAACGGAAATTTGAATCATAGAAAATGGGAAAATAATCTACTTTCTGAGTTGGTTATTTGACTTTCCGAAAGGCAGATTATCTACTTTCAGAGCAGATTATCGACTTTCGGAAGTAGATTATCGAATTTGGGGAAATATTACCACTTTTCAGAAGTAGATTATAGAAACGGAAATTTGTATACAGAAATGGGAAATATTTATTTTTCTGGGAAAGTTTTATCCACTCTGATCATAGAAAACAGAAATTGGTATCACAGAAAATAGGAAATAATCTACTTCCGGAAATTGGCTCTCACTTGTTGTTTTCCTGAAAGTAGATTATCTACTTTTCAGGAAAGTAGTTTCGTTTTCATTGTAGATTATCTAATTTTTGTTAAGATTATCGACTCTTTATAATCGAATTTAGAAATAATCTCCGTTCACGAAAAATGATAATTCACTTCGAAAGTAGATTTTCAACTTCCTGAAAGTAGATTATTTCTATTTCTATGATAGAAATTTTGCTTATGATAAGTAGATAAACCAACTTTCCTGAGAAAGTGATATTTCAGTTTTCGTTATACAATTTCCTGTTTTATGGTAATCTACTGCAAAATTGGGTAATAATCTTCTTGAAAATTGATAATTCACTTTCCTGAAAGTAGATAATTTTTCGAAAGTAGATAACCAACTTTTCCGGAAAGTAGATTATTTCATTTTCTATGATACAAATTTCCGTTCTTTATGATAATCTACTTCTGAAAATTAGGTAATATTTCTAAAATTCGATAATTCACTTTAAGTCGATAATCTACTTTCCTGAAAAGTAGATATTTCATTTCGGTGATAACCACTTTTCCGGAGTAGATTATTTCCCATTTTCTATGATACAAATTTCCGTTTCTATGATAATCTACTTGAAAATTAGTAATATTTCCCAAATTATAATTATGAGTTGATAATCTATCTGAAGTAGATAATTCTTTTTCGAAAGAGATAACCAACTTCTGTAGATATTTCCCATTTTCTATGATACAAATTTCTGTTTCTATGATAATCTAGTCCGAAAAATTTAGGTAATATTTCCTGTGGCTCGATAATTCATTCTTGAAAGTCGATAATTCACTTCCTATAAAAGTAGATAATCTACTTTCGAGTAGATAACCAACTTTCCCGAAAGTAGATTATTTCCATTTATGATACTTCCGTTTCTATGATAATCTACTTCGAAAATTAGGTAATATTTCTGCAAAATTATTCACTTCGAAAGTCGATATCTATTTTTCCTGAAAAGTAGATAACTACTGGAAAGAGATAAACTAACTTCCCGAAAGTAGATTATTTTCATTTTTTATGATACAAATTTCGTTTTCTATGATAAGTAGATAACTAACTTTCCCAGAAAGTAGATATTTCCCATTTTTCTGTGTTACAAATTTCGTTTCTATGATAATCTACTTGTATTAGCAATATTTTCAAAAGTCGATTATTCACTCGAAAAGTCGATAATCTACTGAAGTAGATATCTACTTTTCGAAAGTAGATAACCAACTTCCGGAAAGTAGATTATTTCCCATTTTCTATGATACAAA